AGGTCTCCTTTCCATACACCGCTCACCCGCTCTCCCTCTCTCACTTAGTCCACTCTCTCTCTCTCACTCTCACACGCAGTCTCTCGCTCCCGCTGTGCAGTCCTCTTCTCTCTCACTCTCCCKTTCACACGCGAGTAACCGCCTGAGCGCCGACGCGTCTCCCCCGTGCTTGGAATGCTCCACAACAGCTGACGCCGGGCACACCTCCCATGCAATCCCTCAGTCCTCTCTCCTCATCCCCCGTGCATCATTCTGCACCTCGATGCTTCCATCCTGAGCTAGGTATTGCGGGTACGCCTTACACATTGTTCCCCCATGGTTGCTTGCGCTTCAACGTGTTGACCTGCCTGCATCCCCCTGCGCTGGGCGCCAGGTACACCTTGCATACCGTCCCCTTTTGCATGTCCTCCTCTGGCTATATGCAGGCCGTTTCTCTTCTCACCCACGACAGACCGAGGGGATTGGACCCCATCCGCTAACAGGCTTGGCTAGACGTCGCCTCCAGTGCAAAATCGCAGCCTCCAGGGCTTACAGCGTCGCTATAGTGACGGTACCAGCTCATTCAAAGGGCCCCCCCCCGGGAGTACCCACTCCAGGCTGGGGTTCCAGCGAATCCGCCTCAATGGATAGAGCCTCCGCCAAAATTTCAGAATCTCATGTAACAACGGCCCGACCGGATAATCCATGCCCGATTCTTCGAGCGTATAGTGGACCCAAGAATAAAACTGTGGCCTTTTTCCACGCTGATGCCGAACTAGTAATAGAAGTTGAAACGCTCCATTGTCGGGCCCTTACCGAGCCTGAAATAAATATCCGTGATGATTCCGGATCTGAAAACTACCCACGGTGCCGGTTCCGAACCTGATACAAATACCGGAATGGTCCGGACCTGAAAACAAGCCGCCGCCAAGGCCCCGAACCTTGTAATAGGTCACGACGGTGGCTCCAAACCTGATGTGAGCCGCGGGAGTGGTCCTTGACTTGAGAACAAGTCGCCGTGATGCCCCGATCCTGAAATAGACCGTTGTAGTGGTTCCAGCCCTGAAGTAACCTGCCGTCAAGGTTCCGAACCTGAAAATAAATCACAACAGTGCAAGTCACCATAGCGGCCCCAAGCCTGAAACAAACTGACATCGAGGCCATACCGAACCAGATACACGCTGGATACCGTAAGATGTAGCCAGTCCGTAACAATACCGAATCTCTCCGAGCCACGTATCCGTACCAAGCCAAATTCCATACTGTCAGCCCATGGCAGCACATTCCCATGCCGTCCACATGACTCCCGCCCTCAGATTATCCCAATTGCGGTATTGTTAGTAATCATGCAAACCAGGGAGAACGACGCAGGGAACCTCGACCATCGGCAGTAGTGAGAACTATTGGAATCCGGGGAAAATGATCAATCCGGAGTCAAAGCTGATGGCGTGTAATCGAGGCTAAATTTGGCCAATCTCCCAATGGTCATGGGTTCCCGTCCCTTCTGTCGTTTTTCATCATTCTCCCCTTTCCTTAATTCTATTGTCGGAAATAGTAAATCAACTGTAAGTTCTCCAAAATTAAATTCCGAGATAATTTAAATAAATGGCCGAATTACTTTTGTTTCTTTTCTCTTTTACCATTTTTAATCTTTTTCTATGTTTTTAATTTCATTGTCGGGAACATAAAATAGCAAGAGTATTCCCCCTTGAATTAAATGCCGTAAAAGAAATAGAGAAATTAAGGGATATTATGTTTTTCCCTTCTCCCCTACTGGTCGTAATCCCTTTTCCCCATCTTTAATTATGGTACTAAAAT